ATATATATATATATATATATATATCAACTTAGAAACATTGATTTGTCGGCTTAGAGATCATTTGATCGGACATGCATGAGTCTCAAAGCAATGATTAAGTAAAAAAAAAATTAAGATTAAGTCAATATGGATTTGCTTATAGAAAATTTACCGTCCAACTTAACAACTTTGTGAGATAGGTCAATCAGCACTAAAAGCGACCCAATCCAACTCTAAACAGCAACCTTTGACTAATCGAGCATTCAAGGACCTGAGAACATTGGCATTGTCATAACACCATATTGTCATCCAACCATTATCATTGGAATATTATCATTGCAGCAGGACCAATGATGTCCGACTATTGAAATCTAACTTCCACCATTTGACCATTATTAATATCAAACTACTTTTGTCGTTATATCATAGACATCAGATCATTGTTGTTAAAATATTGTCATCTGATTGTTATTGCTAGATCATCGTTTAATCATCAATGTATAATAAACACCATTGGATTGCTATCACTCCCCAACTACTATCATTAAGCTGACATCATTAACAGTCACTAATAAAACGCTATCGCTCAACTGTATCCACCTGACCATCATTACTTAGATTGTCATTTTTTAATCTCTATCATCAGGCAAATGTTGTTAGTAACAACATCGTCATACCATAGCTATATCATTGTTGTCACCAAATTACCATTATCAAATAACAATTATTGGACTGATGCCTCTTAACCACAATTGAAGTGCCATCACGAGACCACATTTTAAAAACACCAACATTACATTAATCACCATCATCATATCATTATTACTCGATCGTAGTTACTCTATCATCATCATCATCAAATCAACATTATCATTAATTAAATTAACAATGTTTAATTGTTCTCACTGTATCACCTCCTCCCGACCATCATCGTAAACTTTTTATCGTTATATAACTACATAAATCATCCGATCACTATTATTTGGTCGATGCTATCAAACTATCATCAACAAATTAAGAAAGCTCGGTGATCACTACCATTGAAGTGCCTTTTAATAGAAACTCCAACGCTAAATGTTCTCGTCTCAGAGCACCCTTAAGGTACATGACCTCCTGGTAAGTTACACAAACAGGGCAAAAATCGTGAGGCCAATTGACCAAAGCGGATAATACATTGATGGGTGAGATTTCAGGCAATTACAAAAAAATATACATCAATAATTTCTCATCAAAATGGCTCTACCTTTCTATGAACACTCATTTATAATTTTTTATAATGAATGCATAACTCATATATCTCAATTTCTGATAAATTTTTGCAATGTGAAGCATTAATATGATTATTGTAAATACATGTGGGCTGTTACAAAAACAAATATTTTGATTCATATCATAAAGTGAAAATCATGCTTCTCTAAAGATTTAAATAAAATATATAAATAATTTAATTTAATTTTTTAATCAATAAAATTATTACATATATATTGACCTAAAGTAACATAAAAACCTGACCGTTAATATTGCTATATTAGTATAGTTTATTCATATATTAAAGGCAGATAAAATGATATTCATATTTAACAGTAAATAGTAAAATTCATGAATTAAAGAAATATAAATAAAAAAAATTTGTAGCCCATAACAGCTAATAACCGAATATGACAGGTCTGAATACCGTTATCACCTTTGTATTTTTTTTTTCATCCTAAATTTTCCTAATTTTTACTCATAAAAAAATAATAAATTTTCATGTAATATAAAATATTTCAGCAATAACAAAAATATTGATTGCTTATTTTCTCATTTTATAATATTTTGCGAATTGGGATCTATTACTTATGAAAAAAATATATATTTTTTTACTATTTTTTTTGTCATTTACTCGCACAACCCACAATTCTTACGAATTTACATGTCTAATATCTATGTTTTCATATTTACAAACATAACAATGTCATTATTTTCTTCTTAAAAGTGAAATATATCTTTTCATGCATATTTTTATGAAACCAAAATATATAAATGTAAATATAAAAGTTTCAATGTCAGATATATAAATACATAAGATTTATGAAAATTTGTTTATAATATTATTTTTTTTGTTCCATATAATTTCTTTTATTAACTAAACTTGGCAACACATTAACATATATATTTTTAATTATAGATGATAAAATATAGCATCACTCTCTCTAAATTTTGATTAGAAAATATTATATTCAATTATAAGTTGTAACAATGACACATGTAATGTGCATAATTATCTCTCATTTATAAAGCTTTTGGATAAAATAATTAAGAATAACAATGAATCCAAGCCACAATGCAAAACATAAATAAATAAATAAATAAATATAGCATTAACCAATAGCTCAAGAAATAAGAATAATTAGTACTAATCTTCACTTTAAAAACTAAGTATTAGTCATTATAATTGTGATTAGACCGCTGTCAAGCCAATCATAATTCAGAACACTTCATCCAACTACTCAGACCCAAAAAAAGCAATTTTTTCTTTTCCCTATTATACATTATCCCTCTCCTCTCCTCTCCTCTCCTCTCCCTGCCCACCCTCCTCTCCCACCCCACACCTCCCATGGCGCATGGACTATGAACCCGGCGCCTCACCAAGCAGACTCCGACGAACCTCATCGACGAAGAACCAGAGCTCGCTCCGATTGGGATTTCCACCTTGCCGCCGTCATCTGCGGGCCCCCGCCCGCCTCCGATATCATCGGGGCCATCGAACTCGACCCCTCCGACCGTCTCCTCGCCACCGCAGGAATCGCCCGAAAGATACGTATTTACACTCTTGCCACTCTCCTCCCTCCCAACCCCCCTACCTCCGCATGCGACTTCTATCTCTGCACTCCCGCGAAGCTCAGCAGCCTCCGTTTCCGTCCCGCCGCCGCCTCCCTCCTCCTCGCCGCCGCCGACTACGACGGAGTCGTGACCGAATACGATCTCGAGACCCGCGCTTCGGTTTCGGAGCGCGACGAGCACAGCGGCCGGCGAATATGGAGCGTTGATTTCTCCTCCGGCGGGGATCTCGGCGCTTCCGGCTCGGACGATGGGGTGGCGCGGGTGTGGGACCCGCGGTGTCACGATAGGGGAACGGCGGTTCACGCGGGAAC